TAATCATAATAATAATAATGATAATAATAATACGAATAATGATAATAATAATAAATCATATATTCTTCCAGGAGTGATGGATTCTCTGATTCTCTTCAAAACCCACAGGCGAAAATACGAGATCGATCAATATTCCTGGCCCCGAAATGACCCATGGGTAACTTTTCCCATGTAGGACATATAATGTAGTTCATGGTTTTTGCAACTAAGGGAGAATAAGCAGACTGCAAAAGGACAGCCTCAGGCCGCAGCTGGCGTCTCTGCCTTTACGGCTGCAACCTCGCGTTGAAGATCGGTTGAATGCAATGATATGGTTTCTGGGCGTGCTGTGTTCTGAGGGTATCTGTTGTTGGGGGGTTTGTTTGACATGGGTTGGAACCGACAGCAACAACACACGTTCTTGGGTCGCATTTTGACTCATAACCCCGCCTCCTGTTCTTGGGCAAATCGTTCTACTCCGAGCAAAGGGATCCCCAAACAAAACTATACTCCAACCAAGGACCCTTCAGAGCATTGCACCCACCCACCCCTGTTTGCTAGCCACAAACCAGCCACAAAGGAAGGAAACTCACCCCATAATGTTGGGTCAACAACCCATGTTTCAGAGAACGTTGTGGTACACAAATTGCGCACACCCAAACCTCAGGCCACAGGAAAACTGGGGCAGCCTTCTGTTGGCCGTTGAATTCAAACGCCAAGAGCCAAACAGAAAGGAAAACGGTCCAAGGGGCCGTTCCGGCACAGATTGGTTCTACGGTCGAAAAGGCCGGGGGGTTTCTAAACATTGGGGGCCAACTCCTCCAGGTGTCATTTTGGCTTTCCCTTCAAAGCCACCATTTTGGGGGGGGGGGGGGGGCCCTAGTTTGAGAAGAAACAAAACACATGCGGATAGGATTCTTCTCAGCTGTCCGTGTTCTGATCCCCTAACAGTGACTCATTTTTTGGGTGCAATGGACACCCAGGCATTGAACCCAACAAACCTAAAAACCCAAGAGGGTGGCTGGGGCCAAGTAATTATTAGGGAACCCGAAATGGTGGACATCTAAGTTCGGCAGGGATTCCACGTTGACCACTGGTGAGGTGGCTCCAACTCTCCAGAAGCAGTTCACCGAGAACGGCCCAATCCTGCACCACCTGAGAAGTCCTAGAATGATGATTCCCCTGTAAATACCAACAAACAAACGGTTTCCCATGGTTTCAAAGTGATGCAGGATTCCGTCCATCCACGGTACTTCAGTGCACGGCCAAGTTAAGTGCTTAGCTACCTGGAGTCTTCTTCTTACTCCTTAAAAATGGGGGCCTTACCCAAAATAATTTGGGGCCATGACCCCATCTCTAAAGGATCACGGAGACTCCAGGTGTCTGTGTGATGACCTACTAACAACCAGGTTCACTGGACTCAGGGGAACTTGTAAGCGGGTGATAACCTAGGTTTCCAACAACTTACTAGCTTGGCCGGGCACCCAGAGCCCAAAATGGCACCTTGGTAAATGGAACAGCAAAACAACCAAAACCTGCTTGACCCTCGGTTTTTCATTTTGGGCCATTCCCATGCCTGAGAACCCCCAGATCCCCTGCGCTTTTTCCGCTTGGCTGGTGTTTGACGAACGCGACGTCGCGTCGAAGCTCAAGCGAAGCCATCGGCTCTATTTGGAAATGCCCAGGTTTGCTCCAAATGACCCCGGGATGTGGAACTCTCAGAACATACGGAAATCCGGCACCGCAGCACCGAAATGAAACCATAGGTTGAAACGGGCTTCCACACACTGGGAAGAAGTTCCGCAGGTAGAATTTCCACAGGTATCATTTTGCACATGGTTGAAACCATCGGTAACTGTTGGTATTTGCAGGTTAATCATCCGCAACTCACTCCGGACATATCTTTACAACTCACTTCCGATCGAGTGGATTGGCCAAAGAAAGGCTCTCATGCCTTCAAACCCAATAACAATAAGTTGGATTTTTATAGGGGCAATGCAAGATACACTACTAAATAATTATAAACGGGTAAAAAACCAATAAGTGCAAAGTCCAGCAACTCAGAAAATGGACCTGCGTTAAGCTTGTGGGGTTAGTTCAGGTCGATTCGCTTTGGGGCGAGGTAAATTAAGCAAAGGAACCGCAAAGAAGCCATAGGGCCACCAAAGACCGAGAACGGACCAAAGGAAACCAAGCTGATTCTCCTGCCGCATTGGAGCAATCCTGATGAGCCATCCAGCACGAGATCTGGCCTGGGAAGATCTACTTAATCTACTTTCTCCTACAGTTTCACCCCTCAGAAGACCATGGAATGGCCCAACTAACTCAGTGGCTTATACCCTAGGCGATCCCCACTCTTGGCGAATCGAACATCCAAGTGACATTCTGCCGCAAGAGTTATTCGGTACTCCCCAAATAAGGAGAAAAAGAGTAAATGTCGGGCAAATCAGTCCCAAATGATGGCTAAAGTGTCGTATGTGCCTGCGTTGGGTTTGGTTTAGGGCCTTCTTGGAGGAACTCTCAACCTCACTTGGATGTTCAGCCAAGTGGTTGGGCATTTGGGGTATAAAATAGGGGTATGACCCCATCACAACAAGGTTAACGCCACATTGCCGGGGCCCATTGGTGGACAACATTTTGGTGTGGGCGCATGTCCACAAACCACTTTTAAGGTGGTTCCAACTCTTGAAATTCATAGCCATGTTGCCTCATTCTGTCATGTGTATCCTTCCCAAGCACCAGTCCAGTTGATCTCCTGGCGACTCCTGGCAGTTTGCTGCCGTCCTTGAAATCAATATATACGAGGTGCTGCCTTCATCGCCATGAATGCCGTTGTTTCAGACCCAAAAGTGATCGGCAAGCTCTGTCTATGGACGCGCGGAACCCTCAATTGGTGGTTTGGTGGAGGTTAGGGCGGTGTTTCACATGTACCCTCTAGAACCAGGGGTTCAAACCACTAAGTAAGGGCTACCTGAAAGTAGTCCCAGGAGTCAAATCTCTATTCATTTCGTACTTGAGTCGAACTCACCGAGCTTCAGGCCACAAGAAATCGAAACGGGCGGTAAGTTGTGAGTGAAGCATCTCGATAGCGTGGCCCACTCGCTTTCTGAGTTAATGAGACAAAAAAGCTCTCAAATCGTTTGTTTAACACAAAAACGGTCCCCACAAAAAGTGTCCAGTCCCGAAGCTCACAGAGTGAACCCAACTGACATGTGTAGCTCTGGAGAGAGCCTTTAAAGCCTGGCAATGATCCAAGTAATCTGATAAAACTTGCTGGTGCTCGGCAGGGAATGAGGGAATGAACCCAGGGGTCTTGAGGGAAACCACCAGTTGGATGGTTTTTTGGGGGCATTCCCTAATTCGCTAAGCAACGGCAAGTCTTCATCTAGTCACCTGTGGCTTCTCCTTTAATCCTAACCGTATGCTCGTAGGAGCCCGCCCGACGCGAAGGGACTCGGAGGTCCCCTACCACTTAAGAACCCCCCCCCCGGCCGCCCGCGCCCCCCCCCCCCCCCCAATTTACTGCAAAATGTGAACGGTTGTGCGCTTAAAAACAAAATGGTTGTCTTGCTTGCAATACTGTGGATGGACGACATCCATTTTGCACCACCTAAGAAGCCCTGGTTTCTGATGATTCCCCAACGTGTATACCCACCAACGAAATGGTTTCAACCATGGAGTTCATTTTGTGGTGCGAACGGATATCGTCCTCTTTTTTTTCGGGGGACCCCTCCAAATAAGCAACCGTTTGGTGTCCCTTTAAAACACCAAACAGGACCCAGCCAAAGACAGAATTAAGACTGCTTGGAGATTTGGCCCAAGCCCGCAACTTGTATGCAAGAGACATCTCAAGGCATGGCATTCACGGCCTGTCCGAGAACAGCAACCCTCAAACGATTTGCCACCGACCGATGAGGGGGGGCGCCTTCCGCTGCGCACAAAGGGCTTCGAACAAGTTGGAGTTGAAAGTGGGGGAAAAAATCAACAAGAGCAACCAAGGTATTGAAAACCGCTCACGAAGAGCAAAAAAGCGGTGGGTCTGTCTGATTGGAATCGGACCCCCAACATGGCTCTGGTGTTCCTTCGGTTTTTCCGCAGCTGAACCAGAGACTCACTTGTCAGAGCAGCGCAGAAGGCCAGTACAACCCCCTCGGCACGATCTGGTCGGAAGGCCAAGCGGCTTTTGATAAGCCGACCATCAGGGTTAGGCCAAACGTGTTGAGAGACGGAAGGTTGAAAGCTGCCTGAATTGAATTAGTGTATGTTGGTTTTCCCAACAAAGCTCTTCAAACATTGCACCTATTGGGATAAATGTGGTGCCCTTGAGGGCGCACGGCACTCAAGTTGTCACGCACATTTGGCCCAACCCTGATCTATGCCCAGATGCGTTTCGCTCTGTTGAAAAAGGTGTTTGTTGCTCAGAGTAGCGTTCATGTCTCCTTTAAGAATCAGACAAAAAGAACCCAGAAGGACATGTTAAAACCACATGCGAGAAAACAACAACAGGGATTCCGGACCTACCTACTACTTTTCCTAAAGCGTCCCAACCAAAACCTGCGCGCTTTTCAGTTGCCTGACTGCCCTGCAGTCAAACAGACCGGCAGCGCGGGGTGCTCCAAAGTCCTGTTCCAATCGATTTCTTGCACGTTTTGTTCGGGTGGATTCCCTTTGTTGAAGAGACTTTGAGGGTCCAATCGAGATGAAAAACGAGTCCCAGAACTCGAGTGAGAAAACCAGCCTAATATAGATGGATATCCCAGGTGCCTAAACCTAGCCTCGAGGTACATTTTGTGATTTGGTGCTTCTGAAAAAAAGAGAGCAATGGAACCCATGAGACAACTCCCCCCCACTTGTTTGTCCCCTAGAAGAAATTATTAAGATATAAATAAATACCTATACATGTGTATATATGTATATATGTATGTGATACATATATCCAGCAATCCTTGATCTCCTTGAGAACCGGAGAACAGTCACACAATTTTGTTGAAACACAAATGGATTCGAACATCTTTCCTTAAGCTTGGAGCAACCCTGCACACGGCATCGCGGGTTTCGCCGCCGGCCGCCCGGAACGGGTTTTTCCGACACGTTGCTCCAATCAACTCACCGGTAGTTCCTGGCGGCCCCCAGTGCATCCACTGACTAACTTGGCCGAAAATCCAAGTACGTAGGGTTCAACCCGTATTCAAAGAGTGGCGAGGACCCAATCCTGAACGGTAAATAAACGCAATCCTGGGGCCGAACCGGGGCAGCTTGACTGACATACACAGCTACCTCATGTTCACGTGTCATGGAAGTGCACAGAAGGATTTGGGAGTACTAACATCATGACACGTCTCAGTCTTTTCTTCAAACAGCGAGCCGAACTCTGCGTTTCCAAATCAGATCAACCTGAGCGACGAATCCGAAAAGAAGAGGTTTCAAACCAAAAACTGGGCCAAAAGGTTTGGATCGATCGGAGGAGAAAGGTAATGCGCTGTTTGAGAGGGAAATGATCAACTTCGTAGTGCGGTTTGTTGACTACGAACACGAAAGAAATCGAATCCAATCAAGCTCATCAAGAGTTTCGTCAACATACATGACAACACCCTTCCAACCAAAACGGCAAGACGTCAGAAAGGCAAACTGAGTCTGACAAACAAAAGCTCTAAGGGTAACGTGACTGTGAGCTTGATGGGGGGCGGGGGGAGGTAAAATAGGAATTTACCCAAACAAATCATGTTAACTGTCTGTCGCTTTGAAAACCATTTCAGGGGGTCCACATTTTTGAAAAACGCTCGTATGCCATTCTCAAATACCGTGATGATTCCAACTGAATATTTCAAGTGAGCCACATCCAATCACAAAACCTAATTACCCTCTCTCCAACAATCATGGAAAAGGACAGCTAGTCGTGCCACCGTCCTCCATGATTCTGCAACTCCTATAACAACTTCAAAACCATCCAACACCTGCAAGGATACCCAAGTAAAGAACCTTCACCATGGCTGTTCGCTCGTTTGAGCCACCGAATCGGTTGCCATTTTCATTGGCAAGCGATTGGTTTACGGATTGGTACTTGGATGTACTTGGGTCTTCAGCCAAGTTAGCAAGCGGTTAGCCCCAACCCCACTAAACAAAAACATACAAGTGGAGTTGCACCGAACGGTTCCCAACAACTCAATAACTTGGCGAATCGAACATGCAAGTGCCCTACCCTGGAACCTATCCCTAAAATAAGCCTTGGTATTTGGAGCAGGGGATCAGACTTCCCCCTGCTCCAAATACCCACTTTTTCTGGGGCATTTTTAGAAAGCCTGGTTTTTCAAGGTAAATACCTCCTTTCTTAGTAGAGGGTCCACATGATACCCACTGAAAAAGGTGGGTATTTGGAGGTTACGGGGCTCCCGGGTGTTTTTTTTTTCTCAAGCCGAGTCGCGGGTTGTTGGCGTCGAAGCCCAGGTCGCTGACCCCCAGCTTCGTGAACTTCTTCTTCTCCTCGGTTGGGTTTCCCAGGTGAGACATGCGAGCCTTGAGCATACCCCCGACTCCAAGTACCCAGTTTTTTTCAGTTGGTATCATGTTGACCCTCTACAAACATATAGCAACAATTGCAGATTTTGTTTACCCGGAGTCTCCAAGACCCCTTAAAAATGGTGGGTCACTACCCAAAATAATGGGGTCATGACCCCATTTTTAATGGGTCACGGAGACGGCAGGTGAGTCATAATCAAAACCCGGTATCAAAATGCTCTACCTGGACCCATTATTTTTTTTGTAGTGACCCCATGTTTAAGGGGTCATGGAGACTCCAGGTACCCAGAACCAGGTAAAGAATTATTAGGAAAGCGGCCGCAGCTATTCATGGCTGGGAGTCTCCCTTGCTAAACAGTGATTTGCCTGTTGTGTAGATATAATTTCTCCAAAATGGAGAAAGAGGGGCTTCACCCAACTAATCAACTGGCACCAAACCCAACTTCAGGCCTCTTTCAAAGTGCGCTTTGAGTGTTAATGGCAGTACGATAAAAACCGAGCCGGAGCATTCCATCATTCAACCAAAAAGGAACGCCCCTTTCGTAAGGGAGCTTGACCTACGATAAAAACCAAGCCTGAGCATTCCATCATTCAACAAAAAAAGAACACCCCTTTCGTAAGGGAGCTTGACCTACGATAAAAACCGAGCCTGAGCATTCCATCATTCAACAAAAAATGAACACCCCTTTCGTAAGGGACCTTGACCCTGCTTAGGTGAAACCAAAACTGGGCTGTCCAAACCGATCTGCTAGCAGCTGAACTTGCGGGTTAAATGGAAACCCAACCACTAAACCAAAGAAAAACCGGCCTGAAAACCTAAGGAACTGGACGATTCGCTGGGAACCGCCAAGAAAAGGTCGATGGACTGATCCAAATGGTCGACTCGCTTTGGGCTGTTGCAAGTGAGGCCAGAGGGGCGGCGTTCCCATAAACGCATGGCGAATTGTGGACGCCTGTCTTGAGGAACCTGACGCAAGAGGTGACAAGGGAAACTGCAAAACCCGGGCTCCGATTCTGAGGACCCATCAACAAGAGGTGATCACATTTACGAACAAAAAAAGGGGAAACATATAAAGGTGAAAAGGTCGGCTTTGGACAATTGAGTATTTGAGGGGTCCAGTTTCTCCATTATCACGAGAAACATGTTCTCCATGGAATACTTTTGGTCCGGTTTGCCCCCTTGGTTGATGAGTTTGGGCGAGAAAGAGAAGGAACTCATGCACCGAGAGGTGCCCTGTAGGCCTCGTAGCCATCTTGCCTCCGAGCACAAGAATCCGTCTAAGCACTTGAGTGCCCTTGTGACATGGCTGTGGCTTGTGACATGGCTGTGGGGATGGTTTCCTTAAACCTACCGATTATGCCTTTGATCTCTGTTAAAGAATTCTTGATTGGCTAGCTGTTGGTCAAAAGTAGGTACCTAAAATGAAGCCCTGGTGGTGACTAATTTTGACCCATACCCACATTGTGGTTTTCAATATTTGGAGTTCAAAGGGAGGTCTGCCGTTCAATTTGCTTGGTTGCTGTTCACCCCTCTGCAAAAGTTTAACTTGTTGTGGTGCAAGTTTCACTTTTTGTGGGTTTTGTGGAACACCCTTGACTTCCCAAAAAGTTAAGTTAAAGTCTAAAGATCCAACCCCAATAGCAGTCAAGATATCCCCAACAACCCTGACACACCCCCGTAACCCTCCGGAGTCGTCCCGAACATCTGCTCAAAACCACCCCTACTTGGGTGCTCGGCCAAGTTAGTAAGTGACTAACGACCTGGGTTGTAACCCACTTACAACCGGCCCAACCCGCTCATAACTAGGTTTTACCCCAGGTGGCTAACCACTTAAATTCGCCGAACATCCAAGTAGTTCGAGTCATTTGGCCATGGGTCAAAAGCCAAATCGCACCCCCAGTGAACATCCCAATCCAACCACTAAAATGGGTTCTAAAATGGGTGGTGAATTCTCCTACCCCGAAATGGTACCATTGGTTTTGACAACCACAGCCATTTGTTGGCCACATGCCCGGGATTGCGCCGTGGTCCTTCTTCTTCGGCGCAGGTGGCGCTGTCTTGGTGGGAGCCGTGGGAGCGGCGGAGACGGCTTCCTGCCAAGCTCCCGACGCCTCATTTTTGGGTACGGGTGTCTGGAGTCTCCGTGACCCATTAAACATGGTGTCATGACCCCATTATTTGGGTAGTGACCCCATTTTTCAGGGGTCATGGAGACTCCAGGTAAACAAAATCTGCAAACTTTGCAATATTTCCAAAAGCTGAATTAAGAATTAGATCACCAAGTAAAGCACCCTTTTTGCTGGCGAGCTCGCTATATCCCCAGGTGAACATTGCTCGATTCGCAAAGTTAGTGGGAGGTTAGTACTCGTTCCAAGTTCCAGGATAACCACTTACATCCAAGTAGGAACCTGCGAGTTTGTCGGTCTTTGAAAACCCTGTCCTTTGAAGTCGGACATACATTTGTTAATTGGGTGTTGCGTCTCCGGGTTTTGGACCCTCTTGTCAAGTTGGCAATCTCAGGTATGGTGGTATATAAGCATACCTCCAATGCACATACCTGAACATGTCCTTGATCTTGAACTAGCTGGATGATTGAAGACAGTGCTCGCAATTTGGCCATGGGTCAAAACCCCCGTACCCCCACTGAACTTCCCAATCCCCACTTAAATAGACTAACATGGGTGGTGCACCTATCCCAAAATCGCACCATTGGTTTTGAAGTATGGCCATTTGTGTGCAGCAGATCTGATCACAAGTCCAAAGCGAAAAACGAAACGCGTGGACATCGTTTAGGATATCCTCAGCCCAAATGGACTTCTGAAAGGCTCACCTCGGACCTTGACTAGGTTCTCCAGATTTGAGAGGAGTTAGAATAAGGGTGCCCACTTTTTTCAGGACGTCTATTTTAGTAGGGGGAGGAAACCCCCCGAAAAAGGGTGAGAATGGATAGTCTATTTTAGTAGGGGAACCGAATCTCCCCCAAAAAAGGTGAGAAAGGGGCACTACTGGAAGACCTTGACTAAATATGGACCAAAACAGGAGAACCAACAGAAATCGAAAGGTCGCTCTGTCAAAGTTCGTGGCCCCGGAAAAGGGCCCGAACAAGTGGGGTGGGTGTCTCTGGCCCAAGGCTGTGGGAAACGACCACTTCTGTGATACAACGAAAAGGGCTTCCCAAAGACAGACCCGCCATAAAAAGGGGGAGATTCCCTTGTATCACAGAAGTGGGGAGAAACCCTGGCCGAATGCTAACCCCGGATCTAAGTAGAACCCCTGGTGGATTTTGAGAGATGGGGGTGTTCCCTTTATTCCTTTTAGTGGTTGGATTCAGACCACTTTTGGAGTTGGAACACCCCCCTAATGGGACGGGTTCTGCTGAGATCCTGGTCAACATTAGGCTCGTTCGGGGTGGTTTGGAGCAAATAGGGAGGCCTCCGGAGGGCGCCGAGAACACCTGGGCGTTGTTCGGATCGATGCCCTTCCTGCGCTCGTCCTAAAACAAAAACGAGAAAACGGCTGCGCCAATTTCTTGTTGGAGTCCACATTCAAAACAACGACCACTCGCCTCTTGAGTGCGTTGCCCGAAAAGAGTCTACAATTGTTGCTTGCCACCAACATGGTCCAACCCACAAAGTTGAAAGTCCATGAACAGAGGAAGTGAACCCATTTTTAAAACTGGCAAAAGGTGAAAGGCAGGGATTTCCTCAGGCATACCCCCCTACCCCCAATACCCGGCCGTTTTTCAGGACAACCATGCGTTTAAACATACCCTTAAACACACAGGTGTGTGGAGTAGGGGTACTTCTAGCATCTTCTAGCCTGCCGATCGGAATTTGGAACCCTGCAAGCGATGTCCAATACTGAAGCATACCCTTCCTTCAATCTTGGAAACTGGCGATCGGAAGGTGCGGGACGAAGGCTTTCCATTTGGGTGACCCCCGAGATCGTCCACTTCCATATGTGTCGGGTTCCACGCTAAATGGGAGGGTGCCACGCCCGCGAATTTGCAGCGTCCCTTGATGAATTCCCCGCCTTCACGGACTCTTGCAAGGATGGGCCAGCCAGCTCTTCGGGCAGCCTGGCAGATTTGCTGGCGGTGGTTTTGCTTGCGGCTTCCTAAATTCTTAAAAATGGAGCCTTCAACAAAACACACACCCATGTAGGTCAACAAGCCCCCGGATGATTTTGAGAGATGGGGCTGGTTTGCTGAATCATATACTCAGTCCCGAAAAATAAAAACCATTTTGTAAGTTTTGCATTTTTTGCCAATCCACTCAGGAAGTGAGTACTGGGTTTCCCATATTTATCCTGTTCTTATTTTGCACATCTCTATGATGACTGATTCTGACCCCGGATTTAAGCAGAACCTGTCCTATTGAATGGGGGGGGATCCCCTCCACAAGTGCTCCCACTAAAAGGGCACACCCCCATCTCCCAAACTCCACCAGGGGCTTTTTAATCCGGGGTCCCATGTTATAGGCGTGTGTTTTGTTGAGGGTTCCATTTGAAAGTTGTTGTTCAAAGAGAAACCAAAAGGAACACGTGGCCATTTTTGGGCAGCCCAGTTTGATCCATACATGGGTACATGGGGGTTGTGGTTGTGCCATCGGAGAACCTCACAAGATTCAACCCTCAACACCCCCCCCCTGCGCCGAAAACTAGCAAACACAAGACGCACGTTCCCCTTGTCTCATGGTCTTCACAAAAGGTTTAAAGTTTACTCATCTGCAAATTAACATGGAAGGGAGGTCCTCCAAAAGGAGTTTCCTCTACAAATATGTTTTGTGGTTCCATGTTCATCTGTAGGAGTTCAGTCCAGGAACTGTGGGAGGGAGTCGTTCATACCAGTTCCTTGGCTCTTACCAACCCGAGGTAGATGCCCCTGCAAAGGCATATTTGAACATCAAGCCTTTTGGGGTCTTTTATTCAAGGGCCATGTAAACCCTTGAACTGCGTGTTCAGACCTTTGGAGGCAACATGGAGAGTCAGGTCGGGCATATGGGTGTGTCTTTTTGTTGGAGCCTCGAAACGGATTTCGGATTTCGGCTTTCCCTTGGTTCCCTTTTCCCGTCCACCCCAGCAAAAAAAGGGGCACCAACTCAAAAGCAGGAACCACACCAGCATCTGAAAGGGCACCCTTCCCAACTCTCCAGCAAGCAGATAGTAACCCGGCCAGCGAGTGGCTGGTAACCCGAGTGAGTAAGTCCTCTGGGATTTTCCCAACATACAAACTAGCTAAGGGGCCGAATGACTGGGAAAACTTTGTCAAACAAACTAACCGAGCTGGATGACCATCTAAGTGGGCCATCCGCCAAACAAAGTTGCGGCCTCACGTCAAGTTTGGTGTGCGGGACCGATTTTAACCAATTCGGCTCTTTTCTTGGGGATGAGTTTCTCAAGCATCAAGTTGGTAAAAAAGTAGTGATCTCACTTCCGATCGAGTGGATTGGCAAAAAAAGAAGCTCCCGCACTTTCTCTTTTACTAAATTGACAACCAAACCCGACAAGTGATCTTTAGTCCGACTCTCGGAATGAGATACAAATTCACATGGAGTCTCAAACTACCAATATCAATTTGGAATTCACCAATAATTGTGGTTGGCCATAACCCATTTGTAAGTTGGAAGTTTGTGTTGCAGCTACCTTTTTTGGGGTTCTAAATATCTATTTTGATACTAGGCGCCGAGGCCGCGACTCCACTTCTGCACCATCCACCTTGCCCCACTTGGACTCTACCACCTGGCGAGTCTGGCGAGTCCAGACAGCCAAAGGCTCACTGCACAAATCCCTGGGAGGTCATATGTGTTTTTGTTCCTCTTTGTTGTGTTTTGTGTTAATTAGTTATATAAAACATGTATATATATATAGTTAACATCTCTCTTCCTGAGTGAATTGGCGGCCCGAAGTGAGAAACACCTCTAAGTGTCTATCGTTCAATTGGCCACCCGCAAACCTTGAAGTCAACTAGGTGCTTCCGTTTTAACCTATCTGGCCATGGGTCAAAAGCCCGTACCCCCAGTGAACATCCCGACCGCCACTAAAATAGACTAAAATGGGTGGTGCACCTACCCCAAAATGGTACTATTGGTTTTGACCAGTAGAAAGGCTAGAACAAGGGTACCAACTTTTTTTCTGTAGTCTATTTTAGTAGGGGAACCCTCCCCCCAAAAAGGGCGGCAAATGGGCACTACTGCAGGACCTAGCCTCGGGAACCGCCTGACGGGGAACCACCAAGCCATCAGTTTGGTGACTCGCAGTGATTCCACGGAGGCCAGTAGTTCCCCTCATCCAAACTCGCGGAAGCGATAGGCACACCATGGGTGGCTCGGATTATTTTGGGTACCTGGACCTTCAAGGGAACTCATCCAATCATTTTGGAATTTGCCCCATAATTTTGGAGCAAACATTAACTCAGGTTTCAGGGAAGTGTTAGGGTCCAGGGCCCTTGTTGGCATTGGTTTAAAGGGAAATCAAAGAAAAACAAACCGTCTTTGGGGTCGCCCTATTTTGAGACCCCACATAGAAGCAACCAAGTTGGTCGGACTGTGAGCAAATCAAGCACCTCAAGGTTCCAAGAAAGACATCCGACGGTTTCCACCAAATGAAAGCGCACCCAAATCCGTTTTCTAGCCATCCAAACTATGGAATTCCTCTAGAGGAGGCTGCCAAGCCAAATATTTCTTCCTTAGACCCCTCGCCTCTAATCCCCGATCAACTAAGATGGAACAAGCAGAAACCCCAATTCCCAATAGGAGATTCCGATCTTAAAAATGGGTGCAGCTTGGGGTTCCATTCGCTAATTTATAGGGGAGTAATGTTGACCCCATATTAATCAACCCAGTCTACTAATCAGGGGGTGTTCCCCTCCAACAGTGGTCTGAATCCCCACATTTCACTCATGGTGGACCCCCTCTATTAATACCGTGGGGGGGTGAATCACATGGGGTCAACATACATCCAAGCACCTCAATCAATCACGTCCCGTCCCGACTCCGGCGGTTTACAAGCATTCCGCAGGGTCTGGTCTGCATACGGAATCTGAATCTGTGGATCCACCATTCCCAGAGGCTCCCAATTGATTTAGGGCCTTCAAACAACCTGGTTTTGAGACCAGGTCCCAACCACCAATTCCTAGGGTCTCTAATGCTTCAGGGTCAGGTCTTCCATTGAAAGCCAGGAGCAAGGAGCCTCTGGGTTGTAGGAATCCTCTGATCCTCCAAGTTCGGAAACCTAAAGCGAAACCTGGGCCTGTCCCAGGCCTTCGGAGGCTTGGGCACCTTCTTCACAGGCTCCGGGGTGGCGACCACCTTGGGCCTCAGGCAGCAGGCGGCAGCGCCGAATTCTGCCGAACCTCCGGTGAGTCAAAATCAAAACCCGGTAGTAAAATGGTTGACCCAGAACCATGTACAACAAATAAGAAGGCGGCAGCAGCTACTTTTGGTTGGGATTGTCCCTTACTAACCTTCGTCTACCCAGGTTTTGGCGTTTTCGTTGCCGCAGGTTCCATTGGAAAATCGAGGGGAAAAGGGCAAAAAACATGGAAGCTACTCTAAACACTTGTTCTGAGCGTTGCTCAAGTGGTGGCTCCCCCGTACTCCAATTGTTGTTTTTCTCGGAAAAGCTGGTTTCCAGTACTGCTACTACATCCTTTGTAAGTCAAGGCTACCAAGCCGAAACAAACGGGGATTTGGTGATTCCGAGGGGATCCTTCCAAGGGGAATTCAACTTCGAAACCCCTCAAGATTAGGGACTCCCCAAAGTTGCGGATTTCCTGTTGTTGTCCCTGTAAGACCAAAAGACACATCCAAAACGAAACGACCTCCCACACCTGTCCTTCTGAAGCTTGGTTCGGCGTAATCCCCCACCAAAACAGGGGGACCAACTCAGAAAAATGACACACCAGAATCTTCCATTTGGTTAAGACCCCTGGAAAAATATGTCCATCAGTGATGGATTCCTTTCAAAACCAACACGGGAAAATAAAAAATATTCTTAAGCAAATGGAATAAGGACACACTCAATTCCTTTGCAACCCCTGAGCTCCGCGCACTTCCTTCTTCGCTTCGGGCGGTGTGGTGGGGCCTGCCTCAGCCTTTGGCTGGCTCTCCTGATGGCTCGCCCAAGATCTAGCGGATTAATTCTGGGATAATGAAGGCTGGGGGACAGCGGGATCCCAAACAGCCGCCCTTTTCTCCCAAGAACCCCTTTGGTCCCACAGAGGAAGCTAAAGCCCAACTTCCCCAGCGAATGAAACTGTGGAAACGTTCCCTGATAATTAGGGGACTTGGCTGCTCGCTTCGCCAAGCTAGTAATCTAGGAAACGGCTTGGCCCTGTAGAAATATTGCTAACAGATTAAAATATTGCTAACAACAAGAGCCAACAGGGGGAAGACCAGGTGAAATCCACGAAAAGCAAACCTACTAAGAAGTCCCCCCGTGCTCTAAGTAGGCGACATAGGATACGAACCACTGCCGAACACCCAAGCAAGATTTGTTTGCACCCCTCAAGAGAACCAGCAAAGTTTTTTGCACCCCTCAAGGGAACCTGTATAGTGTGCATATACATATTTGTATATAAATATATAATACACACGAAACACGGTTCCCTGTTGGTTTGATCGGGAATCCAGTACTGCTGGAAATGTGTTTCATTTCTTGGGGGGCTCAAGCCAACGGAGGTTGTTCAAACATGTTTAGACCGCCATGGCGTAAAATTTCCAAACCCAGCTGGTTGCCTTTGCATTTGGAGGTTTTCTGGAAATAATCCCAAAGAATGCTTGGATGTTCGGATCGCCAAGATAGTAAGGGGCTTGTCACTTGGGTATAACCCCCCAAAGAAGGTTAACCCCACTTAGGGGGACTTATAAATGGGTTATAAGTAACAACCTAGGTTACCAACAACTTACTAACTTGGCCGAGCACCCAAGTAGAAAACACAATTGTTCCCAGCAGACAGGGACAACTCCAATCTTCTGATTGTGAGCTGGTGAGGGGGTGTGCATAATCCTGGGTTCCAATTCTATCAATAGTATCTAACTAACCAAACATGTACCAGGGTCACCTCTACAAAACATCCAGGAACGCATATGTGCCACGGGTCAATCTTCATTGTATGCCAATGGCATTGGATGTTGGTGAGCCACCTCGTGTAACCTCCGTACCCGATGACATTTCCTTGACTACAGTGTATGTCAGTGAATGTTGAGCATCTTAACCTCCATTTGCTTAGATCTCTTGGAAAATCAAAAAATATTTCCAGTAAGCAAACAGATTCCCTGTAAAACAAACTGTGGAAAATAGGTATTTATATAATATTGAGCAAACAGACGTTCTACAATGCACACAGTTCAGTTGAACGGGTCCTTAATGTTAGTCCCTTTCTGGGGTTCATAACCAATCCTTTCCCAGCCTTGGCATGACCACAAAAGCTGGTTCTTTGCAGCCACTCATGAACAGAACTAAAGACGAACAAATCCGATCGACGATGTCTCGCTGGTGATCGAAACCCTCCATGTTGCTTGTTTGCGTTGGGCAGGCAGATCCGTTGCATTGCCAAACAGCCAAAATGAGAACCTCCATTTGCAGCGTCCCCTGGACTCAAAAAGAGCATGTAATTCCCGCAGTGATACATGTCCCTCTAAAAGCCAACGGACAATTCACAAACATACTCTGAAGCAAAGAGAAGAACCATGCAGTAAGGATTTAATCTAAATCTACCCACCTGCAATTCGACCGCTGGCTTAGGAATGAAGGCCTCCACTTCCTCCACTTCCTCCACTTCCTCCGCTGCCTCCACTTCCTCCTCCTCTTCTCGCGGAGGCGGTTGGAAGAATTCCTGAGCCGGGCTTCGCCGGGTTCCGGCCGGTTCGGCAAGCGCGGCCGCGGGTGACTAGTTGGCAACAGCCCAGTGGTTTATGGACCCGACCAAAACCAGTTGGGGGCTTTCAAGTAGGCCCCTCTGGGATTTGGAGACGGAAGCCATTCAGCAAATTGCCTATAGAGCATGAAGAAATCGGCTTTACGAACTTGGAAACAAAGACATCAACCATACGTGAAGGACAGGTTGGCCAAAGGTTTTGAAGCACTACTTCCCTGTGGGCGATATTTGTCAAGCTACCTTCAAAGCAAATTGCTCTCCGTAAGCATGACTTCCTCAGTGCCCACAGAACCTAGAAACAAAAGGTTAACCTTTTAGGGCCACGACAAAAAATGAACCCACGAGGAGAAACCATAAGATCAAAAGGTTGGCTGTGGGCAAATGAAGGATAAGCTTCGGGGAATCGCAACTTCTGTGATAGTGGCAGCTTCTCTGCAATTCGACACTCGGGTAGGTTTCAGGGTGTCACCAAGCAGGAACCATGCTGCCACACACTCCAGCCCACTGGGCATAGAAACGCACGACCAATGCAGCTGCAACACATGCGCCATGGGTCCAAAGAAAACCTGCTTGGTTCAAACCACTCCATTAACGGCGGCACGAAATGGCACAAGCCCGTGGATTGACAATATGAGCCACGAACCACATTCTTCGTTCTGCAAAAAGGATAGGTTGTCCCCTGGCTCTTGTGGGGGACTTGAGTTGACGCTTCTCGTCCTTCCCAAAACACAAACAAATAAAGATATAAGTTGCTCATACTGTGGATGGACGAAACCCTGCACCACCTAATATGATGATTCCCCCTGGAAATACCAACAAACAATGGCTCCCTATGGATTTGCATGGATTCAAACAGTGGTGCTGGATTTAGTCGAGCCACAGTCTTACGCCTCACCCAGGAACGTAGGAACGTGTTGTTGTTTTTGTTTGCAATAGCTGCAAAGACTTACACGCAGCATGTGGCGGTTCCAAAGCCATTTCATATAATAGATGCACAAATATACACACATAATCTACACAAAGCATGTGTAAATCCGCATGCCTGAGAGGCAACTGTCTGACTTTATCATCCATGCAATGCAATCACAAATCCGCATATCATGATCTTTCATGTACCTGGATCCTCGAACTACCCTGAAACACGGGAATTCACCCCATAGTTTTGCAGGAACACCCCATGATAACCCTTTTTAAAGTTAGGGTAGGTTTGAGGCTCGAGGTATCCAGGATCTTGGGCGGACAAGGCCTCCCCCTCGTTCGCAGAACTCGCTGGATCCCTTGCAAGGCTCGTGTGGGTCCAGCTTGGTCCTTTGAACTTTCCTCGGTGCACGGCCGATTCGGCCACGAGGGCCCATGACGTGCGGTGGAGGGCGATGCGAAATCCATACGCACCACGAAATGAAGCCGTGGGAATGAAACCAACACGTTTTTGCTGGTTCTTACGTTGATGGACTCAGAAACCAGGGCTTCTGGAAGGTGGTGTGAAATGGATTTTGCAGTCATCCACAGTAGGTGACGAAACATGGATGGCCCTGGTAAATGGAATAGAACCTATCTGAGCCAGTGCCATGTATTTTGCTCCACCCAGTCTAACCTAGAAAGGACACCTATGGCCCAAAATGTGTTGCTCTGTGATTTTGATTAAACATAGGCTCTGAAGGATTAAACATAGGCTCTGAAGGAGGCACGCGCGCCAGCATCCTGTTCTATGCAGAGGTCTGGCTCATTAGCAGGTTCTTTACATGTCTGCTGACTTTGCTCCACACAATGCTGCCCTCATCGCAAAAAATGCTGCGAAACCTGCATGGACCCAATTCCAGGGATCCAACTGGCCACCTTGGGCTTACGATGCCCAAGGGGCCATGTCACTTTGTAATTTCAACAGGCTTTTTATGGGTATCCCAGAAAATGGCTCTACAGTTGATGACCTTGCCTGCCAAACCGCGAGTAATGCGTCTTTTGACCAATGGGATTGGGGCCCGGGGGGAGGCATGGCACCAAACAAATCCCGAACTTGGGTTGCTTACCAGGCTCCACTCATTGTACCCCTACACACAATACCTATTTTCTTAAGGGTATGATGTCGACCATGTACTGAAAAAGCTGGCATTCACCCTGGAAAAAACAGGTTTCCCCCCCCCCCCCCAAAAAAAAGTGGGGGGTGGCGCTTCACTTTCATTTTTGATCGCAAGGAAGCAACCGAGGTGGCGAGTTAGCATCTAGCCTAGTCAAGCGGGACATCAATCAACATAACGACGGATACAAACAAGTGGTACGCAGATCTATCCAAAACTCAAGTGGGCACAAGAACAAGACCTATATGGATCAACCGATATCAGCCATGCGCTAAATCATCATCATGGATCTGAAACAAATGGCTCCCAAAGGCATGTTTTCCGCCCCACTTGGTAAGCGGCTCATAACCTTAATAAGTAGGCCCGTCGACGTCGTACCGAAACCCCTTGCCCTGTCGGATCGGAAAGGGCTACCCTCACCGCGGAGGAACAACTTTTATCCTGGTGTTGTGGGAGGACAATGTAGGTCATTATTCTGCCCATCACAGAATATACTGTGAGTATGTGTTGAGGCTCGCGGATCACATTGGGTCGCATTGATTGGCTTATAAGGCACATATGTTAGCACAACCGGAAATTCGACCCACGCAGGCCAAGCAGAAGGAGGTTTGTCAATTGGTCCGCTACGTCCCAAGACATGCTAACCACAGCCACGGGGACAACACATGATTCCTCTTAAAGCAAGATCAAAGCGTAATTGAATATGGCTTCAGAGAGCCCCGCAACCCGACCTTTTAGAGCTATCCTGCACAACTCGGGGGCTCGTGAAGGACTTTCTGTTGATCCTTGTTCCTGTTCTTGATGACCTTACGCTCAAACCATATTTCGTCATGATGGTAGCACGGGGCTGTCTTCAAATCCCTTGCTAAAAGCTTCACTTTTAGTGGCCACCAAGCTGCCCCTAGGGGTTTCAGTCTGTTTGGGTGACCCCATATTTTCCTTCAGCGTCACTCCAAAAGGAAACGAAGACTTCACAAACAAACCCAAATGATCTTTCAAACCACCAAAAAAACATGCGATGTTTCAAACCACCCAAACACATAGTGAGCCCTCTGTCTAGGGGACCCTTTTGTGCCATAGCTGAGGGTCTCTTTCTTCTTGGCCTGCGGCGCCGCCTTCTGAGGCTTCAAAGCGGCCTGTCCGGCGACCAACCCCCCGCCAAAAAACTGCAGCTGCTCAGGGCATGACCTTTCCGGGTGTTGGGAATCAACCGAAAAGGAATTGGCTGTGGGTCAAAACCAATGGTACCATTTTCGGGGTCCCGGTGCACCACCCATTTTAGTCTATTCTTGTCAAAGGGTGAAGCTTTGGAGTTGTATGGTGAGCTCAGAAAATTCCGGGGTGAAACGTGCGAAAACGGTTTACGCGCAGCATTCCAACCATCCTCAGTAGGGAATGTGGGAATGAACCTAGCGATGGAAACCACAAGGGATGATTTGTAGGGGTCATTCCTTCATTCCCTACTGAGCACCAGCAAGCATGTCACTAGAACCAAAGGTCAACGAGTTGTCAACGAGTGTTCACGGGCGCTTATGTAACGGGCGCTGGGCAAATCATTCAGTCAAGTCGCTCCAGCGACTCGGCGGGTTTGAAACGTCGGGCAGTTGGTGCCCCTTTTGGGGAGCCGGTGGATCCCATGCACTACAGCAAGGTCCTGCAGGTAGGCCAGGAGGTTTCCTTTTGGTTTCGCAAGGGCGGTTCCCTGGGAGTAGGTACTTGGGTGTTCGGCCAAGTGAGTAAATTGTTGGTAACCTAGGCTGTAAGCCCCCCCAAGTGGGGTTAACTCTCTTACCTACTAATGTCGACCGCATATGAACCAACCCCAGTGTATTAAGAGGGGCGTGCTTTTCCCTGGGTTTAGTGAGGAGTCATCACTGGAAGGGCCACTTTAGGTGGTGCAGTTCCTACTTGGTTGTGAAGATAGGCTATAAACCTGTTATATGTTTTCGCATATGTCTTTTTTGAAGGTTCCCCTTTATGGGCTGACTAGAAAATGGTAAGCAAAAGGGGGAACCACCTTTTTCTTGCTGGTTCTCAGCACGGAATGCCTTTTTCAACCATCCGCTATGGTTTCAAAGAGAATTGGCCATGGTTCAGAATCCCGTACCAGTGAAAATCTCAATCCCCCCTGTGGATGGACAACATCCTGCCTAAGACACCCTGGAAGAAGATCGACCCCCCTGTAAATACCAACACACGTTGTTTCAACCATGTGTTCTTAGGTGGTGCTTACAGATTTTGCCCATCCACACACAGTGTATGGCAACCTGTATTTAGAATGTCTTGGTTGACGTTGGAAGGGGAGCAACAATTTAAATTTTAGCAGAGAAGTGGGGATTTCAACCACTAATCCACAGGTCCACAATAAGCAAAAATAACAAAAACGTGTTCCCCAACAACAACCATGATGTGGCTTCCTTACCTCTCCAAGATCCCAGGAAAACAGATTCAACAATTCCATCACACCTAGCGTGGCTTCAAGCCTGGAACGCGTCCATCCACCGATTTCCGTAGCGCCATCAATACGAGCGCCATAAAGCATATATGTGTATATATATACATAAAAAAGAAAGCCAACCAAAAACAAACTATTTCAAAAAACAAAAAAAAACAAAACACAATGGGTTCGAAGCCGACTTGCCGACTCGCCGACTCCGAAGCCGAAGGCGGCCCAGCCCAGCCCAAGGCCTCCTGGCGCTTGGCTTCCAACTTCGCCTCCAGCTCCGCGGCCTTCCGCTCCTCCGCCTCCTTCAGCGCCTCACGTCGTGACGCGACGCGCGAATCGCCAAGACGCGAAGACGCAAAGCCCAGACGCCCGGTACACAAATGGCTGTGGCTCAAAAAACCGGCACCAAAATGAAACCTTGGTAAGTGGAAACATGGACCAAATCCTGCGCAACCCCTCCTGTCGTCAGACTAGAGTCAAGCTCAACAGGGTCTTCTTTCCCCGCTGATTTTTCCAAGCCCGTTCCCTTGGCTGTGGGTTCGCTAGACAGTAGATAGGGACAGTGGGAATCTCATTAATCCATTCATGCGCGTCACTAGTTAGATGACGAGGCATTTGGCTACCTTAAGAGAGTCATAGTTACTCCCGTTGGCCAAGTCCTGTTGAATCAAGTCTTGAATTGTTTTTTCTACATTTGGGGATTCATGTACACATCGTCGAATGTAATTCACCAACTGAATTTGACCGTACACGTCGAACCCAGCGGTTGTGGCGGGCCAATCAAAATGGTGTTGCGTTTGGATGTGGTCAATTATATCTTGCATGTTTTCCTTTTCTTCAGTGCAAAATAAACAGGTGATCATGTCCTGATCTTCTGCTTCCCATTTGAGCCACACACAAATGGCTATGGGTCAAAAGAAAACCACCAGGAATCGGACCGCAGGTTTTAGCCTTTGGTTCCATTTACCGATCGGGTTCCCAAAACGGGTACCTATGTTTGACCCACAGCCAAATGATTAACCCAGAACCATGCTAAGACCCCAGACACCACCCACCGAAGCAAGAGGCCATGGCTCAAAATCCAAATCGGTTAGCCCCCAGTGAACATCCAGTTCAATCCACTAAAATTGGTCCTAAACTGGGTGGTGAATTCACCTACCAACCAAAATGGGATCCCGACCCACGGCCATGTGGCGAGCCGCGAAAGGTGCTTGATCTGATTTGGAAACGCAGAGTCCGGCTCGCTGTTTAAAGGACCCAGTGTCATGTGAACATGGTACCTGGAGTCTCCTTTTGACCCTTTAAAAATGGTTGGTCATTACCCAAAATTCTGGGATTTTGTGTCCCCTTGTCTTAGGTGTCATGGAGACTCTAGGTAGTTGCTAAGGTAAAACTAAAAATGATGGGAAAAACCCAAGGGGTTAGACAAAATCCAAGGTACAAAGGATGGGCAAACCGCAGAGCTTTGGCAAAATAATTACGTCAGGTCAAAATGATGGAAACACCCAACGGGTGTTCAAATGCGGCGACATGCTAAAAGGGTAAGTTGGGTCTACCACTAATGGAAAACATGGCGCGGACTCATAAGCTGAAAAAAAGAGAAGTGAGACAAAAGGGGGGCGACCCCCACAAGGCTTCGCCTTTCCTTTCGGTTTCCTTTACCAAGGGCAAAAGTACCAACCATCAGGGTCTTGGTTGAGTTTCTTGAGCAGCCTGCACCCAATACCCACGCCATAGAACACATATCGAAGAAATTCCTCTTCCAGGCGTAGTGGTCAAAGACTATGACCAAGGACTGCGCATGGAGGAAAGCTTGTTGCACACAAAGTGCTGTGCAAGGCGGGCGCCCATACCAACATCTCGACCGTGACATTCTCTTGCCCCAAGCCCAATGTCGTTGCCGAAGCTGTAAGCTTGCCCGCAGGATCGTGGGCGCGCACTCCCAATAGGATGTGGCTCACAAAAATGTACCAACATGGCACCTTGGTAAATGGAACCAAAGACTAAAACCCGCGTAACCCTAGGTTGTTAATTTTGAGCCACACCCAATAGGTTCCGGGCAAAAAGCCAGGAGCGCAAAGTCAAGCTCAATATGCCCGCCGCATTAGCCAGGAAGCCAAAAAAAGGTGGGTCTTTGAAGCTTTCGGGGGAACTCATTGGCTTCAGATCTGGGGGGGGGGGGGATGAGAATAACTAGGGGCCTTTTTGCAGACCCTGACTGGAAGGAGGATTTTCCTTTTTTTGGGAAACTAAAAATGGGCCAAACGAGGGAAAGTCAAAGGTCAAAAGGTCGGTTCACTTTGGGCAAGTGAGAAGTGAGCAGTGGGACTGCTTGTTAACATCCAATCGTCAGTGTTGAGAGAACACCCCACAAGTGGCGTCTAGAGTGGACCCAGACTCTGGATGGTGACGCGAAATCCAGAAATCGCACCACGAAATGAAACCATGGGAATTGGGGGAAACCATACCGTTTGTTGGTATTTACAGGGGAATCCGCAGAAACCAGGCTTTCTTAGGTGGTGCGAAATGGATTTCGTCCATCCACTTGTCGGCGCAAACACTTTGACCTATTTATGCTTGTTGGCTGAACAAAAGGGCAGCCTATAGTGTACAAGCTCTCTTTTGGCATGGTAAACAAGCACAACCTTCTGTGACACCAAAGGCAACCCCAAAAGAAGCGAATGTGTTTGTTTTTGTTTGCGGACAACCACATCCAAGATTTAGAGGCCAACCAAGAAAGATGTGTTGTTTTTGGGCTTCGCAACCAGCATCCATCTATCGGACTACTGGCTGGTGACACGTGAGAAGCTCTTTCGGCGCGCCTGGCGCTTTCTTTCCAGCGCCTCTTCTTCCTTGGGCGATGCTCGAAATCGCAAGCTGAAACCAGTTGCAATTCCTTCCAAGGAACCCAAGAGGATGATCTTCTCATCAGTAAGGTAGCATTTGCGGAAAGTGCACAAATGATAAACTCTCCAAACTCCAAACTGGCACGTAACTCTCTTTGGTGTTCTTTGAGCCACTCCAACAAGCAAAACGGTAAGACCTTCAATTAAGCAAACACCCTTACGGATGAGTCCAGTTGAATGAGGGAACCTTTTTCAGATGGTTGACAACATGAAACACAACACAAAGCCAGCAATCCCAAAGGATCCATGTGGGGGTTGATCAAAGGTCCTTTAAGCTGACCATTGGGGAAACCATTGAAGATGCTATTTCAACCGCATGGCAAAGCTACCCATGGTCAAAACTGGGGCCACATGTAGGTTCTAGCTACTTTTCCCTCTAAACCAGGCCCCGACACGCTCAAGGTCGCCCTTCTGCAGCCCTCAAAGAAAGCGATGCCAAACCTCCAGGAAGCAAAAGAAACAGCTTGCCGGTTGCTCGATGTCGCAGGGAACTCCAAGTCAGGAACAAACAAGGCGCTGCTGGAAAAGCCTACCGTCGGCGAACAAAGCACACTAAATATTGTGGGTCTGTCTGTTTTTGAGGGTACCCTTGGTTGGTTGCTTTAGAGGTCAACCAACAGGAAAACCGCTTGTGTTTTTTTTGGGGGGGGCTGCCCTCGAAACCAACAAAAACACAGATGCATGCCTAATCATCAAACAACATCTTGGATGGGATCCGTAGGTATGAAGCCATGAGTACTGTGCAGTAGGCTGCCGAAAAACCTGCGCTTCATGAGACAACAAATCAAACAATCAAACAATCAAACAATCAAACAATCAAACAATCAAACAATCAAACAATCAATCAATCAAATCAATCAATCAATCAATCAATCAATCAATCAATCAATCAAGCAAGCAAGCAAGCAAGCAAACACACGAACGAACAAACAACGAAATAAATAAACAAATAACAACAACGTATACAAACACACAAACAAACAAACAAACAAACAAACAAGCAAGCAAGCAAGCAAGCAAGCAAGCAAGCAAGCAAGCCAGCAAGCAAACAAACCAATAATCAAGCAACTAAACAATCAATCAACAAACAAGCAAAACAAAGAAACAAAACAAGCACAACACGCAAAATCAAACAAGACACAACAAAGAAACACACACGCACACAAAGGAGGTGTACAACTTTGCTATTTAACGTCCGCACTCCGGACTCCAGCGCGCCTCTCTGCGCTTCCTCTCTTCAGCCTCACGAGCTTCCTGCTTGGCTTGTTCCGCCTCAATTCGAAGGGTACTGGTTTGTGACCGGCCCCCCAACAAATACATGTCATCCAGCATCAAGTCTCCTTGCTTGCTGGAGTTGCGGGTGTCAGCCGGAAACACCAAAGATGGCAAGAGCGCAGATTGCAAATCCGCACGTGACATTCTTGGTAAGAAATTGTGTTTGCTCCACACCCATGAAGTCAAATCTTGAAGGTTATTAGCCCTCTGTCAAACAGTTTGATCTTTGTGTACATTAGTGGGGAAGTACTAGCCTCAGGAAGCCAATGAAAACATTCTCAAGTGCCCAAAACACAAGTTTTTCAGGTTTGTGGTGAAATGCTCATGTTCAACCAGTTTGTTTCGCGTTGCACGTAAGTGGGCCACCAGCATCTTTCAACCAAGAGGTTGAAGATCCAAGCCAACATAAGTTGCCCTGGACGTCTGACATTCCGTTCAACGAGTTCACAATGATCCCGATCCTTCCACCCCTTGGCATGTAAGCAACACAAACCTTGCGTTTTGCGGCCCAATCCTGAATAGAACCAACGAACAGAAACGCAAACGACAGATGCCACATAAACAGAAGAACAGACACTTAAAACATCTTAAAACAAACATAAAATGCCAACATTGCCAAGAATCCCAGAAGCACCGCCAATGCCTCCCACCCAGTGGCCATGGGAAGAAAGGGCACTCGTTTTTGTTGTGCCCCCAAGTTGTCCTCAGAGATCACCGAAACCCACAGATTTCGAATGCCGGGGTGCACAGGAAGGGTTTCGTCTTGTTTGGAGTTGGTACCCCCTTTTTGTGGTCTTAAAAGGAAACCAAAAGGAACACCACAGTTTTCCCCCAACAGCTGAAAGCTTTGGGGTCTCTGCCCAAATAAGCTCCGGAGTGGTTCGGGGCAGCTTTCAGGAAAGGTTCCAGAAGGTTCTAGGTGGTTCCGAGGTATTTTATGCTATTTATCGCTTCTATGTTTGTTTTTGTTTTTAATAGGGGGGGGGGGAAGGAACCACACCCATATTTCTGGACCCAAAAGGCCATCCACCGTGGCGCCTTCTGCTTCTCCAGCTCAATGAGGGCTTTCTGCAACCTTCGCTGGAAGTCCTGCGTCGCTCGATCCCCGAGCTTGCAGATCCTTGCCATACAAACCCTCCCGGCAGCTAACAAGGAAGTGCACAGACCCCTGAAAGACGACTTTCCTCATGTTAGTTGGTGGGAGGGTGCATGGTGGATGGACGAAATCCATTTCGCACTGTGAAACCATGGTTGAAACCATTGGTATTTACATGGGAAGCATCAGTCCAGGGAATTTTAGGTGGTGCAGGATTTCGTCCATCCACAGTACCTCCTACTCCAAAATACCCGCTTTGGGATTGAGGGCGAGTTTTTGGAATACCGATCGCTTTTCCAGGGTTCATCTACACCCAAAAACAGCGGCTCTTAGTGTTGTTTGCTCTTCTTTGGGAAGGGGGTGAGCCCTTTCAAAATCAACTTAACACCCACAAACGGCGGTTATATTCTTATTTGTTCTCTGTTGGGAAGGAGGTGAACCCCTTCAGAATCTCCCTTCCCGAGTGGATTGGCCGAAAAAGTCTAAACTTTGTATTACTCAGGAAGTGAGAAAACATCAAACAATTGAACAACAGGGGCTGTGTTGCCCACGTCCGGGCTGCACGACGAAAGCGAAAGCGAAGTCTTCGGCTCGGACGCCGGGCCTCATGGGTCTCGAACCACATGCGGCTTTTGTTCTCCAGACCTTGGCCCAATGCATCCGCCCCGAACTCGTCATCAAAACAAGCGCCGGAGGTGATCGCGTGTTACCTTGACAAAGTACGGACCAAAACAAGGAAACCCAAAGGGGATTTTAGAAGGAACCACCAAATTTGAGGCTTTCTCTTTGAGACAAACCCAGTTGGTCTGCTTTTGGTCTCCTTGGCAACCAACAAGGGAAACACAATCGGTCAGATCCGGTTGATTCGCTTTGGACAAGTGAGTATACCCGACATTTATTTGGGGGCACGTTTTGGAGAAACCCTCCATGAAAGCTTCTTTGGCAGATTTTGAAAGGAGATGGTCTTTCGTGGAACCTTCAAAAGGCTTCCAAATAGAGCGCCTTCTTCAGACTAGGCTTTTGAAGACCTCCATTATTGAGGACATTTGGATACCTAATCTTGGTTAACGTTGGAAGGGGAGCAACAATTTAAATTTTAGCAGTTAAGTGGCTGGATTTCAACCACTAAACAACAATAAGCAAACATGAAAAAATGCTGCCCAAAAACAACCATGTAATGTTTTGCCCATTTACAAACATCCATGTTTGGTTGCTTTTTCGGCAGACAAAGCTTCCGGGACCGCTTTTGCTATCGGTGCCTACTCCTGGGCGCATAAAAGACATCTCTGGGAACGTTGTCGAAAAGAATTAAAGGGAAAGGAACCTACTAGCCTGCATCTGCAGCACAGCCAACCAACCCCAATCTTTCTGACTTTCACCCGCCCCCTCCCCCAACAAAAATGTTCGTAGATTGAATTGTTTCAGTGATAGGATTCCTTTAAAGCCGACAGGGAAACAGAACCAAAGTCAACCCCTTTCAGTGGTAGGTTCAAATGGAGCCAACCAACCCCATTTTCTGACGTTAACCCGCCCCCTCCCCCTCCCCAAAACTTGGTTGACGTTGGAAGGGGAGCAAAAAAACAAATTTTAGCAGTTAAGTGGCTGGATTTCAGCCACTAAACCACAACAAGCAAAAATGTATAATGTTTCCAACAACAAAAAAGAAAAGGAAGAACAACACCAAGCTAAGGAGCCCAAGTCCTGGGGGAATCGCATCGATCGCCGGCAACACCCAGTCGTCTGGTCAGAGACCTAAACCCCCACACCTAAATCCTAAAACCAGACCCGTTTTTCGCGAAACCCACAAGCTTAACTCTGAACCTATACCTGAACCTGTCAGTCGGTTCACTCGCATGCTATGTGGGTGACGCAAACGGAGTGTATGGCGCGGTCTGGGGGGGTGGGGGATAAGGCTCGGTCCTCGTAAGAGTCCCCCCGATCTAAGGGGCGAATTACAAGCAAAATTATCCCACCGAGGTAGCCAATCATTCCTGCATTCTAATTCTTGAAGCCCTTACAGTAGATGGTTTGCAACAGTGAACCAATTCCCCTTGTTGCCTTTCACACAACAAAGAATTGACAATTGGAGCTAAATGGTTTCCCGGAACAACCAGACATGTCCCAACAAAACCCAGCCGGCAACAAAGTGTCCCAAACAAACCCACATTGGGAAGCTCGTTCACCATCAAAGTGACCCCCCATTAGGTGATCCTGGTGCACCATGTAAAGAATTGACGCGGCGACACCCATTCACCTTGCTACTAATTTGAGACCTAGTATTTAAATGGTCTACCCAGAACCATGCAAGATATCCAACAAACAGGTGGCTGGCACCCATTTTAGGGTTAAGACAATCCCTTGCTTACCTGCATCTACCCAGGTTTTGGGGAATGCATATCTAAACTTTCTGGATAACCTTTGCTGAGTGAGCCGAGCAACCAGCAACAAATGGGAATTGGGCATTTAGTTGTCAAAGGGGGCTTGAACTAGTGGTGTTCCATGTGGGTTTCCCTTGGGACCAACCTGAATAGGGTACACCAGAAGTAAGAGGAATGACTAAACCACAATAAAGGGACACAGATAAAAATCGAGCCATCTACGTTCACCCAACTCAGCTTCCTCCTAATTGGCCTAGTTGGCTTGGTGGTTTGGTGCTGTTGCTTCCTCCTAATTGGCGGTTTGTCTTGGTGGTTTGGGTTGGTGTTCCCGGCTACAAGCACCAGGGCTTCAAATCCCACCCAACAACTTTTTCTGAGTAGGGCAACCGTCTATTTGCGGTTCCCCTACTCAATGAGGGAGGTCTATTTGAGGGTTCCCCTACTATAAGGCTCTCATAGAGTAATTAGAGAGGTCTATTTTAGTAGGGGGAACCCTCCCGCAAAAAAGGGTACAAGGGCACTATTGGGGCACCTAGCCACCGAGTTCAGGGCCTGACCCAACTGCCCCATTTGCCAAGAATTTCCAACGTGCCAAGGCACGACGCACATCGTCTTGCAGCGTGGACTTCTTCTTGATCTCAGACTTTGTCGAGTGGCTTTTTCCAACCCTTTTGTCACAAATTGATGTCGTTTTTGCAGCTTCTACTCAAAATGAACAAACCCAAAAAACAAAACAACAACAGCATGCCACAAAACCGGTACCAATCCTGCGGATTTGAGGAGACACCGCAAGGCAAACCACCATTATCGAGACCCCCTATTTTGACACGTACCCAAGTGAGATTATAGACTCCAAATCAGCGTCGTGTGTCAATGATTCGGGATGTATATACATATATATATATATATTATACACATACACACATAATGTGTTTTTGCGCAACAGGGCAACGAGACTCACTGTCTCCTCTAAAACTCCATGCGCAATAATTCAGCTTCCCTCTGATTGGTGGTCTGGTTTGGTTGAGGGGGAACAAAACCCCATGTGGTTTCAAAAGGAATTGGGTTCAAACAACTGAATAATGATTCTATCTTTTGACCCCTCAAGTCTTCCCCGGGTTCCCAAACAAGAAGCTGAATGGCTTAGGAAGAACCTACTTGTTCTGAGGCTGTGGGAGCATTGGGAATCACAATGCAAAACAACATGTCCACAGGGGTCCCCAGCAACTGTACAAATTTCAAAATATTCCTGGGAAGTGCCAAGAACAACATTGGCAAGCAACTCCAATGTCACGAACACTAAATTGAATTATAATTCACAAGTTAAAAATTAGAGAATCCTCAAATAAACAAAAACACTTCTCATCATGGGTGAGCTCGGCGTAGGTCAGCTTGAGCTCGTTATCATGAGCTCAGTCGGACTTTGCATCTTGGTGCTGGGGCTCCCCGATCCATAGCTGGTGCGATCAAAGCAGCACACATCAACAACTGCGTAATTACTCTGTAATATAGTATTGCCATATTGCCATCAAGAAACTGAGGTAAACCTCGCACATGCTTGACATCATACACAATTGCCTTATGTTGTTAACGAATTGGCAGTCACAAGCAAGTGCGCTTGTCTTCGTGGAACTCAACGGGCTGGCCACCGAAAAGGAGGCTACCAATGCAAAATCTGAAGGGGGTGATATGACCCTTTCGTAGTGTCTAGTGGTTTTGTACCACAATTAGGGAGACCAATCAAAAAGTCCCTATTGTGCAGTCCCTTATCTTGCATGTCCAAAATCCTCCACTTGCTTAAGTCCCTAGAAAAAAGGCGAATCCTGTTGGATTGTAGTCATAGATTCCCTAAGCCAGCGACTGGAACCGTTCTGCACAAGGCCCCGGCTCGATTGCGATCGTAGTCGCCTGAGCCATTGAACCACTGAGCCGCGGAACCGGCCCGCCCATGAGCCACTTGCTGAAAACCAGGATGGAGGTTAGTAAGGGAGTGTGCCAAACAAAAGCGGAGGTTCGCCTGTTGTTATGCAGTTACGTGGGTTTGGGTACACCATCGTAACACCATGTGTTTTGATTCACATGTGCTGCGGGAAACAATTAGGTAAATACCTGGCCAAGTATAGTCAGTTGAATCCTGGAAGGGTTGGTTGCCTACTCCAAATAGACTTTATATAATACATTGTGTCATTATGTTGTCAGGTTTTCCATAGCCGATACCCGCCCAATCCAAATATTTAAGTGTATGATGTAAGCCTTGGTTTTAGAAAAAGAGAAGTTGCCACACACGGTGACAGCTTGGTCACATACCTCTTCCCAATGGCAAATGACCTGCATTAGGCTCCCATTCACTTGCTTCCAAAGAGATATAACCACACAAGGTCAGTCCGCTTGCAAGCCCCCGGGAATTGGTGCTTGGGACCCGGGAATTCTCAAAACCCGGTGGTTAGGCGAAAAATCCATCGAATTGGAGCCTCTGGGTAGGTGTATCTCAAACTGCTGAGACCCCAATGGCTCACACCCCTTCTGGCGTGCAAGCCCACCGAACAAAAAGAGACACACTTTTGCTAGTCAGGAAACGGTCATTTTCGGACAAATAAAAACACGGCCCACATCCGGGCTACACCGAAAATACGATGTTCACATCTTGTTGCGTATTTTGTGTACCCCAAATAGAAAATCATTGCGGAGGGCCCAGAAAACGTCGAAGCTCCTGCCCAAATCAGCTTTCCCGAGTTGATGGTTTGGAGCCCGGTGGCTGCAGATCCCACGCCGCAAACCACAAGTCGGGGGCTGACTCACTTCCGATCGAGTGCATCGGCCACAACAAATCCAAACTTTTCGACTACCACTAAAATGGTCCAAACCCCAAAAGTAACTGAAGCCCACAACTAGGTCCTCCAGTAGAGAGGTTAGAATAAGGGCACCCGTTTTCCGTAGTCTATTTAGTAGGGGAACCCTCCCAACCAAAAAAGGGGAGAGAAGGGGCACCTAGCTGGGGGACCTAGACAAACTCAGGGAGGGAGACCCCAAAGCTGTTCGCTTGGCAATTTTCGGGGTAACCCGACAGAAAGCCCCCGAATGTTCCTCGCTTTGGACCTTGGCGCCCTGCTCAAATTCTTCTCCGGCGCTTTCTCCAAGCGCTCGATGCTTTTCAGCTCCTCACAGCCACAACCTGAGTCACAATCAAAAACCCGGTATTAAAATGGTCGACCTAGAACAGTCTAAGGAAATACAAAGGCGGATATCCGCAGCTGTTTCTGGCAAGGAAATTGTCCCTTACTAACCTTCATCTGCCCGGGTTTTGATTGTGGCTCACCTGTTGCTGAGCTTGGATGCTGTGTGGGTTGGAACTCTGGACTAGAATCTCCGGAAATTTACGCTTGTTTCCCCACGAAACAGCCACAGAACCTCCATTTTACAGGAGATCAAGCCGTCCAGTAAAGGACTGAAGCCAAACAAGCAAGAAAGAAACACTGAGAAATCCTCGTATCGGGAATGCTGGGTTCCCATGCTAATTTGCAAGGTCGCAACAGTGGCACTAAAGAGCAACCAGAGTCACAATCGAAGCCAGCTACTTGGATGCTCAGACCAGTAAGTAAGTAATTAGCCACTTGGGTTCCAAGCCACTAATAACAAGGGTCACCCCTCTAGGGAGACTTATACATGGTTGACGGTGGAAGGGGATCAAACAATTAAATTTTAGCAGGTAAGTGGGGATTTCCCACCAAACCACAATAAGCAAAAATGCAAAATGTTTCCCAACAACAACCATGTATAGGCGGGTTATAGCCTAGGTGACCAACAACTTACCAGCTTGGGCGAGCACGTTCTTGTTTGCCAAGAACCACGTCTCTAGAACCGACGCGAAACCCAAGAACAAAAACCGTGGACACCTGGTGGGACTGTCCCGCACTCCACCCAGGTTTTAAATTGCGGCTCGCTTCTGCAAGTTTTACTTGCCTTCCGACACGCAAGAGGAGTCAACATGAACGTATCTCTTTGTAATGCTGCCCTTTGTTGGGTGGTTTTTAAGGGAACCGAAGTCATTTTTTGGGGTCCCCTATTTAACATTGTGGCTCAAAATTAAAGACCTAGCCTTGCGCAGGTTTTAGTTGTTGGTTCCATTTTCCCAAGGGGCCGTTTTGCTACATGTGTTTGAGCCACAGTCACATGGACCTAAACCTAATCCCCAAAAACCCGAAAACGACTTGGGCGTTGCGCGTAAAACTTAGCCTACATGAGAACACCGCTGCATGCACGAAGCGCCTGGTTCAAGGCTCCAGTGGCATTCGTGCCAACTTGGACATTAAGGTTAAAATTTGGGGTTTCAGCTTTAGGGTTCACTGTTCCGGTGTAGGCTTTAGGTTTCGGGGTTAAGTAAGGTTTAGGTGAAGGTTTGGTTTAGGGTTTGAGGTTTCGTTCTGGCCTGGCTGGGCGTCCGAGGCACGGGACTGGAGTCGTTTGCGGGGGCGTGGAGTCTCTCAGGCGGTGTTTGAGGTGCAGGCAAATGGGCACTGGCCGTAAGTTTACCACATGCAGCTTGCCTCCCAACTCTCGCACAATGATTAAGAGCCACAGAATAATAGCTTTTGGTGCCGTTAAGAGCCCATTCAACTCAAAACCGGTATTTGTTTTGGAGCTGAACTCATGTGCCCAATCTCTTCAAGGTTACGCTCCCAAGAAGCGCTATGGAACACAAAACAACCAAAGACAACAGGAGCAACAGAGAGGAATTTCCCAACCCCGAGGCTCCAATTCGATTGAAGGGCCTTCAAACCACCTGGTTTTGAGAATTCCCGGCCCACCAATTCCCGGATTGTCTACTGGAGTCGGGTCTTCCAGCCGAAGCCGATCGGAGGCTGTGGGAACAGAGATCTTCTGTCGAGCGCCTCGTGCAACTCCAGTAGAGAGGTCAGAATAAGGGTACCCCTTTGTCTTGAGTCTATTTTAGTAGGGGAACCCTCCCCCAACAAAGGGTGAGAAAGGGCACTGGGCGACCTAGGTATTGTTTAGGGGGGGCATATTTCTTGCACCCAGACGCTGCAGCTTTCAATGGAAGACCCGAGCCCGAAGCATTAGACACCCCAGGAATTGGTGCTTGGGACCCGGGAATTCTCAAAACCCGGGTGTTTGAAGGCGCTAAATGCTTCGAATTGGAGCCTCTGGGTACAAGAGAAAGCCGGACGCTTCCCCCCCGTCCTGGCACGGGGCGTAGAAGTCCTCGAGCTGGGCCACCGGATGCGCGATGCCTTGCGCCTTGCCCCTCAGAAATTGCAGCCGCTTGAACCGCTGGGAGAGAAGGTTTGGGGTCTGGGTGAGGAGAAGGGAAGTGGGACATATGCCGCAAAAGTGGGAAACACGCCAAAGATTATCTAGTGCACATGTATCTAAAGGTAGGTGAGGTAGCTCTCATGATTCGCCCAATTCCTGTATATGTAGTGTGTGCGTGCGTGTGTTCGGTCTGGTGCCACGAACTGACGAGACATATGCCTCTTTGCGGCCCCCGGCTCCACAAAACGGCCAAAAACATCCACACATCACCTGCTTTACGGGGGGCGTCGCGAAATAGGCAGGTAAATGTGATATTGAACTGGACCGAAAGTATGTATCCATTAAGGGAACCGGCAAAAGGACACAATAAGGTTGGGTGTTGACTTGCGTTGCTTTGTATTGAACAGACTCACATGAGTGCCACTTCTTGTTTCCCCCGATGCAAACAAACTGACATGAACTGACCAGCTGAGTTGACCGGAAAAAGCTTAGACCAGTTGAGCCTTGACTCTCAAAAACAAAATACAGCACAAAGTTCGACAACTCAATCAGTAAGGCAACTGGGGTGTGGGATTCCGGATTCCCACTAGCAGTCCTGACCGCCTGAACAAATATTGGGAAAACAAATGAGAGAGAGAATACCGGGGAAGCGGTGATGTGCGAGGATTCCATGTACAAACAAATATATATCTAAATATTACCCGACAAATATGTCCAACATCCCTGCCCAGCTTGGTTTGTCTTCCATTAGATTAAGCCCGCTGGGAATAAAAAAACACAAACAAACAATGTTTCCAGGAGTGATAGATTCCCTGTACGGAAAAGTAAACTACATATTCTCAGTTGTTCAGTGACCCTGGGCAAAAAGGGAACCCTTTTTGGGGAAGACCATTTTTAGTTGGGCCACCAACAAAAAAGGGGAAAAATAATTGGTGCCACTGAACAACTGAGCGGGAAGCGTGGCCAACACTTTTCAAACCATTTGGTTTCCATTTGAGTCAAAATTGTGATAGATTCCCTTTACGGAAAAGTAATCAAGATATTCTCAGTTGTTCAGTGACCCTGGAAAGAAAGGGAACCTTGTTTTGGGAAGACCATTTTTTAGTGGGGCAGCCACCAAAAAAAACAGAAGAAAAAAAATGGTGCCACTGAACAACTGCACAACATAATCCTAACCAACCATTTCCAGTAATCCGTGAATAGATTCCCCTTTACCGGGAAAAGTAGACGACACATATTCTCAAGCAACCATTTGCTTCAGCCCAGCAATAACCAATATTTCCACTAACAAATAGAATCCCCATCCTACGTAAACAACCTATTCTTAACCAACTACTTCCAGCAATTCGTGCTAGATTCCCATGATCCCCTCTACGGGAAAAGTAGACAACGTATTCTTCAGCAAACGCGTCAGTTGCTCGAAGTTTTTGGGGCCCGCGCACACTGACCAGCATCAGCTCCAGCCTCCTTAGACCCCGCCGAGCTCTCTGCGCGCATGGAGTCTGGCAGGTAACCCCCCGTGTGCTCGCTCCCAGGAAACACGTGTACCCCCGGTAAAAAAACAAAGAACACCCCCTACTCCAACTACCAGCTGGTTTTTAGGGGTTGTTTTGGAAGAACCGGGTTTTCCGTGGTAACCGCCGATGTTTTTTTTAGTCAGGGGTTACCATCATGCAATTGCCAACATATTCTGACAAAGGTGTGTAACTATTGAGATAACTATTGAGTGTACGGGGCAATGGTTGACTCCCCCTTCTTCTCTTCACCCATTGTTCTCTTCATAAACCCGTGTGGCCCGTTTTTTCAAACAGAAGGACCCCTGAAGATAATGGGGAAGGTACAGCTAGATGAATGGAAGCCCAGGGTTAAAGTGCCGATTGATTCCGACGCCGTACCAATCAAGAGTGACTCCTTCACTTTTCGGGCAAACACTGCCAAAGGCAGCAGGTATGTCCTTGCTCTTCAAACTTTAAAAAAAAAGAAGACAAAAACAGGAAAAACAAACAAACAGCCAAAATAAACAAACAGACACATCAGGTATTTGTGTATGTCGCAAAGATAGGGTTTCTGATATGTGCCTTTCTGTATTGGTTGGGCGTGCTAGCCGATTCACCATGCTCCCAGAGAACGATTTTCAGGAGTGTAATGGGTTCGTGGAAACATTTCGCATTTTCCCTCGGAATGGTTCTCGGTCCCCAAGTGGATTTGGCAAACAAAACAGCTCCCAAACTATGTGTTTACCACGAAACTAATCCAAACCCAAAAAGAACGACTAAAGGTCCGGCACAGAACTCAGGGGGTGAGAGGTATATCACATTGTCCCCTGGTTTGGAGCCAAGCATAGGTGACCTTTGCAAACCGATCTGGCAAATCGTTCATTAAGCAAAAGGGTTCCTAGATAGAGGGGGTTCGTTCATTTCCCTTAGACTGGCATCGTTCATTCAGCAAAAGGGTTCCTAGCAAACCGATGCCCTTAGCAACAGTCTAAGCAAATCGGTGGAACCCTCGACTTCAACCAAACTAACCGATCGAATGTCCTCAGATCCCCGGCTAAAAGTCCAACCGTTCAGCGGGCTCAATGGAAACCCAACGTCTAAACCAACTAAAAACCTCAAAACCGCAAAAAACAAACACCTAAGGCCATGAAACCAAAAGAGACAGCTGGGAGTAGTACGAAAAGTACACCTACACCCCCCTCCTCCAAGTACCAACTGACTTTCAAGGCTAAAAACCGTCAAAACCCTCCAAACTCCCCAAACACAAATCTAAAGCCATCAAAAAAGGACACCTACGAGTAAAACCCAGAAACCCCAAAAGCCCCTAAAGCCATCAAACCTGAAAACGCTCAAAACCTGAAAATGCAAAAAAGTCCAAAGCCAAGGGGGGTTGTTACACCTAAACACCAAAAAACCTTTAAACAAATACAAAAAAACAACTAGCACACCAAGCCAAACAACTTCTCTCAAGCCCAAAAGCCATCAAACAAGGACCTAGAGTCTCCATGACCCCTTAAAAATGGGGTCATTACCCCTGAATTTTGGGCCATGACCCCATTCTTCAAGGGTCATGGAGACTCAAGGGACCGCCCGAGCCCGAGCCGAGACGCTCCACCAACTTCGCCTTCTCCTGCGCCTTGGCGCTGGCCCTGCGCGCCGCGAGCTGCTCTTGCAGCGCCGGCCGCTCCTTCGAGGAGAAAACCCTCACGAGCCGCGAGCCGCGAGCCGCGAGCCGCAAGCCGCGAGCCGCGAGGCACGTGGCACGCGAGTGACAAGCGCGAGTCGCCTCCCTTTAAAGCGGGGAGGAAAGCCCATAGCAGATTCTATTCGATTCCCCAACTCACACAACAGCAAAACGTGATGGTTCCAACCCTTCTCAAGCTTCCACAGCTAGTTCCACAGCGCCCGGAGGCGAGCTCAACTAGCTGCTCCAGATTTGAGAGGGTAGAGGTTAGGGTACGGGTACCCGACTTTTTTTTCAGGATGTCTATTTGAGTAGGGGGTTCCCCTCCCGACCAAAAAAGGGGCACGTAGCTGGACCTACTAGGGATGCTCAGATGCGTGGAGTTCCATGGGAAGGGTGGTGGAGTTTAAAGGGGGAACCCTTACCAAAAAAAGAAGAAGGAAAAACACGGGCACCGCTGGGCAACAAAGGACGCCCCAAACTCAGCTTCCCCCAGTTGGTGGTTTGAAGCCCGGTAGCTTTGAGCTAGGAAGTGGATTCCCATTTTACAGAAGCCAGGGGTTCAAATCCCCAAACCACAAATCCAAACCACCTGAGCTAGGAAGTGGATTCCCATTTTACAGAAGCCAGGGGTTCAAATCCAAAAACCACAAATCCAAACCACCTGAAACACCGGGAAATGAGAAGAAAAACAACGGGGGCTCCTTGTTCCCTTGCACAATGTGGCCGTGTCTCAGAATAGGATATGGACCCCTCTTTTGATTTGAGAAGGACACCAGAAGGAAACAGACTGGAAGGGTCACCCATTTTGACACAAAGCCATATCGCAAGCAACGGAACAATTCAACGGAATTTCAAGCATGGTTTTGCTGGGACCTGGGATCCCACGTGCGGAAACGAGCCTCGTGTAAATTGGACCCTTCGATCAACCTCCTGCTCCGCCCTCAGAAACACCTTCCGTGCACGTTCGACCCCTTGAGGCAAAAAGGGCCCTCTTTATGCTTCCATATTTGGACCGGCAAGCCATATTTGCACAGGCAAGCCATTCTTGGACACACTAACTCTGTGACAAGACACGCTTGGACATGATTCCTTTTGGATACCTTCGTAAGGGGCAAGCTTGGAACAGCCATTTGGGTGTGCCGTTTTTCAGGGGACCCGCCGCTCCCATGCTCTCACTTCCTGAGTGGGTTTGCCCCAAAAACGGCTAAACTGTCTGTTTTCCACTACAATAAGGAACTCAGGGAGTGAGTTAAAGACCACCAACAAAGAGGGTTCCAACTCAACAGAAAGACAAACCCAATTTCTTGCTGCTTCTCAGCAGGGAATGAGCCACAAACCATCCCCCATAACTTCCTTTCAGGGAATCAGGTTCATTCCCCAAAACCCAGAAGTTCATTGCCTACGCACTGAGCACAGGCAACACACCCATTTCCTAGTATAGAATTGGATCATCGGCGCTTCTCGGATCCATCGCTCCCCTTCGGCTCGGCTCGTCTCCTCGACCGTCAAACGGCCCTGGTCGATCAACTCTTGGACGGAGGCGCTCAGCGTCTGGACCTTCTCCTGGCACCGTCAAATCCACAGGAGGGTCTCAAAATGGTAGACCCATGTTTGAAGGGTTTTTAAGGAAAACAAGAACAAAAGCACAAGCCATGAAATGGGTCCAAGTTTTCGAGAAGTTTCACACACCTGTCTCAGCTTCCCAGTCGGTCTGGAGCCTGACGGCCATCCAGCGCTTTTCAAGTCACGGGGGTCTCCTCCAAACAGAAAGTTGAGAACAGTCAGGACTAATCGGCTTCCCTTTACTCGGCGGGCTGGAGCCCGGTAGTTTGGAGGTTAGGAAGTGGTTTTCCATTTAGCCTCTACAAGAATCGGGCGTTCAAACCCAACACCACCAATCCAAAACACCAATTAGGGGGAAGCTGGCCATATTCGCCATGTTCAAACCTCTTGTTTCTTCAGAAACCTTTATGTAGCCATTAAAAGCACGACAACCATCCCCAACAAGCCGAAGCTAACTGGCTTCCTCCCAGGAGGGAATGCCCCAGCGTGTTGGGAATGAGCCTAGGGATCTGAAAGGACACCATAGGGGATGGCTTATCCTTGGTTGACGTTGGAAGGGGAGCAAAAATTTGAGTTTTAGCAGTTAAGTGGGGATTGCAACCACTAAACCACAATAAGCAAAAATGTAAAATGTTTTCCAACAACAACCATGTATAGGGGGTCATTCCCTCATTCCCTAAACCCACAGTGGTTATCAAGAAAATCGATCACCTAAGACAAACCTGGACCAACCAAGGGCACTTTTTTTGCGACTCTCTGCAAAAATCCGTGCATTTCCTTGAAATCCATACATTTGAGCAAAAACTGTACTTTTCTTGCAGGCTCAACATAAGACACAGGAGCATTTTGCTACCTTTTTTCTACAAGAATCTCACTTTCAGCTCCGGCCATGGCACTGGAGATTGTCATGCTCATACCATTTGAAGGTGTGCAATTCACCAAGGACAAAAGGTGCCCATTTCCTCAAGAAAATGTTCCGCTGATTTCCGTGCATTTTCCGCAGATTTCCGTACTTTTCCCGCCGATTTCCGTGCATTTCCCGCCGATTTCCGTGCATTTGCGGTTTCTGCATTTTGGCTGAGAAAACTGCAAACTCGCAAAAGCGGCAAGGAAGCTGTCACACATTGCCCCACAGCAATTGGAGACGAAAGACCTGAAACGGAATTAAGTATGACTGGCCGTGTAAATTGCAAACTGTGTTCATGTGCATCCAAGTGCACCACAAACGCTCACAGCCTGCTAACAGCGATTTCCGTCAAATTTCCTCAAAAGTGTACATTGACACCTTTTTTTCCGCATGTACGGAAATTTCAGTACTTTTGGAGGGTTCAGGAATCCCTAAATGGGTATCTTTTCATCTGGAAATTCACTGGAGGTCTGGGTCGATCTTAGGGCTGATGTTTGCGTTCTTTCCCCTTGCAAGCAACCCTCCAAATCCCTGTCCAGGAACGTGAGTGAGACGGGCAACAGAATCCTGAAGTAGTTAATGAGCTCGCTGCCTGAGTAGATTCGCCAAAACAAAAATCCGGACTCTTCACTTACCACTAAATTGGTGGCTAAAGCCCCAACCCGGTAAGCGATCCCACTTTCATGTTTTTGTATGAACCACTTTGTATGCCGAATCTCGCTCGGGCATCCAAAACAACACCAAGACCTGATTACCAGGAAACACTTTCTAGAGTATGCATTTTCTCACTGCCTGTGTGGATTGGTCCAAAACAGTCCAAACTGTTTTGTTTTTTTTACTAAAATGATTTTCCCAAAAAGTTTAAGGTCCAGGAACTCAGGAAGTAAATTTATCTCTGTGGCTATTGCCCCCTGTGAATGTACGCAGCCTGACAATATGCGCGTATGAATCAATGGCACTGTGGTCCCAAAAAGGTACGTCTAAAGATCCAACCAAATAGAAGTCTCATCTGATGTCTGATGAGGTACTTTCGGGGCCACGCGAAAGAAACTCACCCTTACCTGGAAATCCCCCGTGCTGTTTCTTTCCCCGCACGCAAAATAAAGGACATCTTCGGGGTGGCTCTATGTCAGGACCCGGGGTTCAGTACCAAACCTTGACGAGATAAAACAACTGTGTTTTGGCCCCCGACTGACAAAAAAACAACGAACAAACCAACACGTAAGAACAAACCTGCAAAGAACAGTGAAGAACATCATTGGGTTTGTGTCTCTTCATGTTTTCCGGGGACCAAACAAAAATGGTGGGTTTTCTTGTAAACACTTTGCCATTCAAAGCACCCCCCAAAAAAGCCGCGCCAGCGCCCGCCCGACGGACTTCCGAAGGCCCGGAAGACACGTCTGACGCTGGCCGCACCTTCAAATCCGGGCTGTGGTACTTGTTGATGAGCTCATGCTCCTGACATCTCAGTCGAGTGACAATCAAAACCGATCGCTAGTCAAATGGTCCCAGAACCATGCTTCAAGAATTAAGAAGCCGGATTTCCGCACCTATTTCTGGCTGGGACTGCCCCTTACTAAACTTCATCTACCCAGGTTGTCATTGTGGCTCCAGTTGCCCCTTAGGGACCTGGACACAAAAGGCGATTACCTTTTGGAGCCATGACTAAAGAATTCAAGAGAAAGGTTAGAAGGTCGGCTTTGGGAAAGTGAGATCTTCTACAAACGAACGCCCTTCGAGAATGTGTTGTGTAAAACTCTAGAGGATTTGCCATACCTTGTTGCCTGAAAAAATCAGAAGCGCCCCCCAAGACAGCGGGGACTTGGGGTAGGGCACCTGCAGACATCTTTCCACAAGGAAACCGGAACGAACACCTGCTCCTATTGAGCTCTTTGATGACTGCAACGGCCTCGTGCGAAGCAACATATTTCGCTAAGGAAGTGTGACATGCACCCGTGGCCTCGTGCTAAACACTCGCGCCATGCGCGGAAAAGGGACTGGTTTATTGGCTTAGCAAACCCCCCGTCCTGGCTGGTATGTGGTCATAAATTTCAATTATATATGGGTCTGGGTCAAATTAAACCACCAGGGGACCGCAGATTGTAGTCCATGTTTCCATTTACCAGGGTTCCATTTTGGGTACCTATTTTTGACCCACAGCCATATACTCACTTCTTGAGTGGATTGGCCCAAACAAGTCTTCGCCCTTTTCCCCCCAAAACAAATCCAACCCGGAAGGGTTCTTAAAACCTGAGAGGTTCAAGGGAATATCTGGTCCAAGAGGCAAAGTTTAAAGTCCAACTCAGCAAAGATGAGAAAAGGGCACACTGGCATCTGACACCCCTGTTGGCTCTTGAATCGCCTTCAAGAGTCGTGATGTTTAAAACCGCCCTTGGGGAAGTAGAAGGACTCTGAGAACCATTCTGACAATCGCCCCGCAAGCCCTCGAATGCTTCAGTCCTCGCTCTCCATCTTGCCCTTCACCTTGCCAACGGCCTTCACCTCCAGCGAACGGAGCCAATCCTGTTCGAGCTTGTTCAGGGTCTGGTGTCAACCCCCGGCTAAAGAAGGAGCCCTGTGCCTCAGTCCGAAAGGACATGAAAGAAAAATATTGACCTTTCGTCTAGGCTGGAATTAGGACCCCAGCAAAAAACACATTTGTTGCCTGGTTAGTGGAAAACAAAGGGGACCCCAAAAAAGCAAAAAACATAAAAAGGGGAGCTAATTCTGGGGAAGTCGTGACCTTGACCAACAAGTGGTCATGATTGGTCATTTCAGCCTCCCGATTCGTTTTCGTGGGTTTTGCAGCCCGGCGGTTTCGAGGTTACGGAGTGGTGGCCCGTTTACACTCAACAAGAAGGTTCAAACCACCAATTTGGGGTTGCCTGAGAATGGGGACTCAGAAGTATTCTGGGAAACATAGGAAACCGCACTTCCTGAGTGGATTGCAAAGTAATTTGTTCATACCATATCCTCTTCCCAGTACTAAAAGGGGCTAAATCAAACAGCGGTTTGTCGGAGGGCTCA